GGAGGGACGGGAGGATTTCTTTGGCCTGAGAAGTAGGTGGGGCGGAGTGCCTTGGATTTGGGAAGGATGTGTTGTGTATGCCCATGTGTAAGTATGAATCCATGCCTGTGTGTTGATTGTGCTACTGTGGTTCAATATTTGGTGTGCATTTATTAGTGTGTAAATCCCTGCCAGGGGTCTGCACTGTTATGTGAACATATGTCTATTAGGAGTGAACAAGTGCTTGTGCAAAGGTGATCTTTTTGTGCCTTGGAGTTTGTTTGCGTGCCTGTCAGCCTTGGGTGTCTATGTACTGTTGTGGTTCTGTGTATGTGTGTGGGGCATGTGTGTATCTGTTGGTGTCGGTATGTATCAGCTTTGCAGTAGTGCATGGTACTACTCATGAAGTTGTATGAGTGTGTTTGGGCATTTTAGAGTGGGTACCTGTCTGTTACAGGTGTGTGTGCCCCTGCACATGGGTGAGTGTGTGACTGTACAAAGGAAAGTCAGTGTGGTTGTGTCCATCTTGAGGGTCTGTGTCTATGTTGTGAGCCTGTTTGTGCTTCAGTGGTAGTGTCTGAAGGGTGGAATTGTGTCTGTTCAAATACATATGTATAGAACGATGTGCATATATGGGGCCAGTGTCCCTGCACAAGGCTGAACCCACTTGTGTGTCCAGTGAGGTTGGGGCCCATGTGTCTAAACCTAGGATATACTGGAGTGCCGTCTGGGGATTGTGAGACAAGTGTGCTCACACCCCCAGCCAGGTGCCCATGGAGAGGAAGCACAGAAACCCAGCTGTGGAGACTTGGGCTGTGTGGCTTCTGTCATATGCACATGTGCTGGGATGGGCACTAGTGTAATGGGAACCTCCAAGCCTACTCCAGCTCCTATGCTGCTCAGATCTTTGAACTTGGGGGGTGAAGAGGGTCTGAACTCCTGGGTTCTAAATGAGGAGGGTTAAGGACCCGGGTCCAGACTCTTGGGTTCGAGGAAGGAGGCAGTTGGGGGCATAGAATCCTAGATTTGAAGGAGGAAGGATTTGTTGTTGTTGTTAAGTGCCATCGAGTTGAGTCTGTCTGACTTAATAGCGACCCTAGGCACTACAGAACAAAACATTGCTCAGCCCCGCACCTTTCTCATCATCGCTGCTATGTTAGAACTCATTTTTTAGTTATGGTGTCTGTTCATCTGGTTGAGGATCTTCCTTTTCACTGATCCTCTACTTTAACAAGCATCATGGATTTTGGTTCCTGGCACCTGAGTAAGGAAGAGGCTGGACCAAGATGCCTGGGTCTAAGGTGGGAGATAGGGTCCTTGCACTTCTGAGAGCTCAGAGAACAAATAGCTAGAGTTTTGGGCTCCTGGGTTTTGGTGCATGAACTCCTGAGGCCCAGATGCCTGGCTTCCCATGGGATCCCTGGGTTCCCATGAGACTGCAGAACTTGTAGCAGGTGGACTGATGGAGGGATCACATCAGGGACTTCATTGGCTGAGATGGCCTTCAAGGCAGGACCTGGTCTCTAAAGAGGAACCACAAGCATGCTAACAGGGTGGTTTTGTTTCTTTGCAGGTACCGGCCCAGGCCCTGATGCCCTGAAGAGAGGTAAGTGGGGTCTCAGGTTGGAGAAATGTGGGGTAATTGGTGTTTTCTGTGCTGGCTGAAGTCCTGGAGCTCAGGCCTAGCATGGATTTCAGTTTGAAGTATAGTCTGGTAGTGCTCCAAGGGCCAGGTGCCCCCGCCCAGGCTATGGGTGGTACCAAGGACAGGAACATCATGGTTGCCTAAGAGTTCCTGGTAGATTCAGGACATGAATGCCTGGGAAGCTTTGGGGGCAGGTGGGGTTTCTGATTAAGAGGTCTCCCCTCTCAGGAAGGAGCCAGGGAAAGGGAGAGACTTATGGTATCAGTGAAGAGTACAAGAGGGTTCCACTACAGGAAATGACCCCTGCATGTGGAGAGCTCAGTGGACACGGTTTACCATTTTGTGCATGTATGTGCCTGTCTGTGGGAAGACCTGATCATCTGAGCTGCTGGTGGCTGAAGAAAAGCCATAGAAAGTAATTAACTATAATAATAATAATAGCTAACATTTGTGGAGTGTTGACTTCATTAGGAACTATTTTAACTTATCCTCACAACCACACAATGAGGTAGGTATCATCATTCCCCGTTTATAGATAAGTACACTGAGGCACGTAGTGGTTACGAATCGGGCTGTGAACCGCAAGGTCAGCAGTTTGAAACTACCAGCTGTTCCATGGGAGAAAGATGAGGCGTTCTGCTCCCGTAAAGATTTACAGCCTCGGAAACCCTGTACA